GCACTTAGCAGATGTAAACCTAACTGTGATAAACAAGCTTAAAAAGCCTGAGAGTTAATGCCCAAATGTAACCAGTTTAATGGGGCTGTGTCACTCTGGAGCAGTGCTTGTTTTATTTCATGTTTGTTTTGGTTTTCATAATTGATTTTGTTGACTATAATGTAAATAAGACAATGTTGTTAAATAGCTGCACATTAAAAATCTGTATATAGATGTTTGTTTGCAAGCAGTGAATACAAATGTTTTTTATTTGCTGAAAATGTTAGTCAATAAATGTAAAATGTAAATCAAATATTTACCAATGGTTATTTTGACATTTAACTCATGAAAATCACAGTGTTAAAGTTTACCAATGAATAATTTAATATTATCTAAATGTTTTTAACTCTTTGAGTCCCAGAGGGTTTAACATCACAGGCCCAAGGGGTAGTTAAGAGAGACGTAACATTGGCGCATTATACATTCATTGGGCTACTAGGCAGTAATCTATGAATGTATGATGGGTTCCTTTGGACTCAAAGAGTTAAATAAAAAGTTATAATTTGTTAATCTAAGATGTTTTACCTCCAAGCATTAAAATATATATAAATTAAAATATTCATTAGAAAAGCATAATCTCCCAAATATAATTAGATGTTATCCTAAATATTATTCAAGGGAAAGTTAAATGTCATCCTAAATGGTAATCATCTAAAAAATAACATTTTATTTCGGTGTGACATAAGCAGACATTTTATCACAGCTGATAAATACAAATGTTGTTGAATTCTGAATTAAGAATCGACATCACAGCACTCGTGATACCCCCATAAACGCTCCGTCTCCATCTTCAGCAGCAAGTGAAGAGTTCAAATTCCGATGGTACCAGTAACTGTCTGATTGTATATCCGTCTCGCCTTTACCCTGAGTGTCGAGCATCAGCCAGATCCCCTGGTAACTCCTGGCAGTGCCATTCTCCTCAGACTGTAATGATTTATCTGTTTCTCGGCACTCTTCACTTGCTCCCAAGGGGCCTTCACAACATCCAGCTTGTCATACATCAGTTCACCATCGAGTGGTGCAGAACCAGCGTGTCTATCTGCCTGCTCATTTTCCAACACACTGGCATACCCTGGAGAAAATATCACAGTTGATAAATACAGAGAATGATGATATGCTCAATGTCTCACATAAACAATATCAGCAGATACTTTGTATGGATTAATGATGCAGGCAGATATTTTACATCCAAATGTAGATTGTATCTGTAGAATAATGTACACTTGTAAACTGTGTAGGCATTTCACAATCATTGATAATGTCTATATTTCTGCATTAGTGCTGTAAATATAATTGTTGCATTCTGTAATAAATATTATGCCTTGTTACCTTACACTGTTTGTTGTTCAGAAGCAACTTATCATTAAAAGATAATATGAACTGTGTGTTGCCTTATTTGTTGACTGAGAGCTAGCTCACTGAGTTGGTTGAATGCTAGCTCACTAAGTTGATTGAGTGCTAGCTCACTGAGTTGGTTGAGTACTAGCTCACTTAGTTGGCTGCGTGCTAGCTCACTGGGTTGGTTGTGTGCTAGCTCACTAAGTTGATTGAGTGCTAGCTCACTGAGTTGATTGAGTGCTAACTCACTGAGCTGACTGATTTGGTTGAATGCTAGCTGAGTTGATTGAGTGTTAGCTCACTGAGTTTGTTGAGTGCTAGCTCACTGAGGTGGTTGAGTGCCATCTCACTGAGTTGATTGACTGCTAGCTCACTGAGCTGACTGAGTTGATTGAGTGCTAGCTCACTGAGCTGACTGAGTTGATTGAGTGTTAGCTCACTGAGTTGGTTGAGTGCCATCTCACTGAGTTGATTGACTGCTAGCTCACTGAGCTGACTGAGTTGATTGAGTGCTAGCTCACTGAGCTGACTGAGTTGATTGAGTGCTAGCTCACTGAGGTGGTTAAGTGCCATCTCACTGAGTTGATTGACTGCTAGCTCACTGGTTTATCTCTATCTCAGTCTTTAAATAATTTATGTAGAGTTTGAATGCTCGTTTCCCAGTGTGAGTCGTCCAACAAGCAATAGACGAGCACACAGAAATCAGTGTCTGCAACAAGACTAAAATTCAGAAGTGGATAAACAACCAGAACTTTCCACCAGATTTACAACTAGTGAACGCAAACAAAAAGAATGCTAGCTCAGTGATTTTCTCTGTCTCAATGTCTACATAATTTATGTGGAGATTGATTGCTAGCTCTGTGAAATATCTCTATCTAAGTGTCTACATTATTTATTCGGAGATTGACTGCTAGCTCTGTGATCTCTCTATCTCTCTCTGTCTCTAAATAATTTATGTGGAGCTATGGTAGAGCAAAGGCCCCTACCTCTTGGCATTCTTTGTCTTTCTTTTGCCCTTCTATCCCCCAATGGAGCTTAGGCCCTCAACCAACTCACGCCAAGTTGTTTTATCCTTCGCCATTACATGGAGCTCTCCCCATGTCCTCCCTATCTTTCTAACCTCATTCTCCAGCTCTCTTCTCATGCGTTTTTAGGGCCCTCTTTTATTCCCATGCCCCTGTGGGTTCCAATGCATCTTGGCGTATTGGTCACAAAAATACCTATGTTTAAACTCCATTTTTTAGACTTGGTCATGTGCAAACAACCAGATGGGGAAAGCAATTAGTTACCATGGACAAGAGATGTCTGTAGAAGTCTCCAGAAGAGATCAAACTCAGGAATAAGTCATAAGAGCAAAAGTCTTCATAGAACCAGTATTAATGACAGTGCAAAGACAGCGCCCCAGACCTAGAACCAGTATTGATGACAGTGCAAAGACAGCCCCCCCCCCTTTCCCCCTATATATACACACACACACAGTGATGTTTAAATCGAATGCACTGTGAACCATACCCTTAAGACATTTATAAAACGAGAGTACCAGGTAGACCCAGAACAAAAGGAACAGATAACATGAAAGAAACTCTACAATAATAAAGTGTTTACAGTCTCGGCAGCCAGAAGAGCAGGAACCAGAACGTTATATCTTCCTTGACCACTGAAGCGGGAAAAGAGGAAGTCAAAAAGAAGGAGCTAAGAAGAGGAAGGGGGAGACTTTCGATGTTAAAATAGCACCTGGGTCCTAGATCGAGCAAACCTGTAAAGGGCCATTTTCATGCTAGTGGCGAATTGAGTATAAGATGCTGAACCAGTGGTCTCTAAGTTTTTTTTTTTTTTTTAAGGTTGTGCCCCCTTTTTTTGGGTGGGGGGGGGGGGGGGGGTGGGTCGAATACTGCAAAGACCCTCGCGCCCTTCTTCCGAGTTCTGTGATGTCAATTCTTGACTCAACACAACACACGAGCAGGGCTGCCAATACGATTTTTTTAAACCCAGCTAAGCTAAACTAAAACCCAAGCAAGACACAGGCAAAAAAAAAAATAATAATAATAAACCCAGATTGTTGGAAAGTACAAATGTTATAGTTACGAAACGAAACATTTGCCCACTTTTTATATAAGGATGTATTTTTTTTTTTTTAAACAGATTCCAAAATGTCAACCCAATGTGTCAAATAAAAACCCAGCTCTGTGGGTAAAAACAGAGCATTGGCAGCCCTGATCAAGAGTTGTACTCATAAGGGCGCTCTCGCAGAAAAGAAAACCAAACAAGTTCTTATACAGACAAAACTGTGAGGGTCCGGAGACCGACTGCTAGACCTGCCTGGGTGACACCTCTTCTTGTTCTCCCTATTTTATTTCAAGGTATTCTTCGTATGTAGTTGATAGTGACAAAACTATATTTTCTGATCAGTAACATATATACGGGTAAAACAAATACAGAGCGAACATAATCCTACAAAGTAAGGTAAAGTTAAAGGTATAACATAACTTTTAGAACAAGTTCAACGAGCAACTTTTCAAACAGCGTTCAGTTGTAGTTGTAGTTAGTAATAGTAATAATGTATTAATTCAGGATTCATCAAACGCGAATGATCATGAGCAAGATTCATCGTCATCAGCCATTTGGTTCAGTCCATTGCTTGATGGGCTGTAATGGCTCTTGTTATTCTGTGTCGATGTAGAAACTTTGACATTAATCCATCTTCTCGTCTTAGGGTGACCTCTTGCTTTCACTTCAGATTGGGTGACCTCTTGATTTCACTTCAGATTTGTTTCATGTGTAGCGCCTGCGTTGATGGTTGTTCTGGCTGCATTCTTACTTGATGACCAAACCATCTGATCTTGATTTTCTCAATGAATTTGCTCCATGCTGTTGTTCTTGCAGTCTTATCTAATATCATTTCTAACTTTGTCTCGGATGGTTAAGCTGGAGGCTTTTCTCGTGCATCTTATTTCACAGGTGTTAATTTTACGTAGGTTAGCTTTGATAATGTCCAAGTCATTCATGCACTGGCTAATCAATCATAATGTTACCACTTTGTATCTCTCTTTTGAGAGTGCAATCAGTAATCTGTGTGCCCAAAGGCCATTACTGTAAACAAAACTAGTCGGCTCTCCTTTAAATAACGGTCGCTAGCTGGAAGGCGATGGCCGGTTAGTCGGAGTTCAGTCCCCTGGCTGCAGTGCAATTACGGAATGGAAAAGAGGGAACGAAACAAATGAGATAGTTACCTGTCAACCTAGGCTTAGGGTTTGGGGTAGGGTTAGGGTTTGGGGTAGGGGTAGGGTTAGGGTAACACATCACGGAAACCACGCAAGCTTATCGCTCATTACGACATACAGATCCGCAGGTCTCACTTCTGTGGTCACTAAGTCTTGCGTCGGAAGAATGCGGTCGCTAATTTGAGTCGCAGCGGGTGGTCTAGCTCTAGCAGCCATGTTGACCTGACTTTGTTTTTTTGATTCGTGACTTGTCCACTCCGTAATTGCACTGCAGCCATGGGAGTGAACTCCGACTAAGCGGCCGTCGACGTCCAACTAGCGACCGTTATTTAAAGGAGAACCAACTAGTCTAATCAATACTTTTCCCATGTTCAGATTTTCTTGACAGTCACACAGGAGAGAATGAGAGAAATATCTGCCCAGCTCCTGGTTGGGATGTTTGTGAGGATGCTGCAGATGTTGTCAGCAGAGGATTCCTCACCATCTCATTTATCGGCTGATCCTAAGGGATATATAGTCTATTGTCCCTGCATGGGTAAGTATAAAATATTAATTTTGGTTTTCTGCATTTGTTTAAACCTTTTCTGCTTTTATTTTCCAATAGAGCGTAGGCTTCGATTGACTCACGTCCAGTCGTCCTATTGGTAGCGCTCACATACAACTCACCCTGTGTCCTCCCCATATTTTATATTGACTATCTGGTTATTGTGACTACATAGAATGAGATAGACCAAGAATAAGTTGTAAAGATGACATGAGAGAAACTCTACAACAGCACGATGTGTCTAAAGTCGGAGTGGCCAGAAGAGCAAGAAGTAGAACCTTATATCTCCCTCAACACCTTAAGCCATAAAATAGGAAATGAAGAAAAAGACTCTAGTTCCCTCCCCTTGTGTGTGTGTCTGTCTTTTGGCCTTCACATCACTTTCTAATTCTGTTCTCCATATGTTTTTGGTCTGCCTTTACACCTTTTACCTTTTTTAATTCTAGTGCAGTGACATTCTAGTTATATTATAATTAGGTTTTCTTAACGTTTGTCCTATCCAGTGCCAGCATTGTTTCCTCCCAAAAGTTATTTATACTTGCTGTTTCTAACAATCAGTCAATAAATCAGTTGCTGTCTCCACAGTGATGGTTGATTGCAATGGATCTCCACTACACTATGTCTCTTGTCTTGATAGTACACTCTCAGACTGCTCTTGATGTTGTTCTCCCATTTGTATCATTATCTACCTCTTGCCCCTGACCTTTTCCTCCAGTATGGTTTTTTAAAAGAGTTGTCTTTTAATATGGCCAAAATATTTCAGTTGTTTCTCTTTTTATTTCTTTCGGCAACTCTACTTCCTTCTTATTTTCTTATTTACAGTATTTCCTCAGGCATAAGACGATCCAATGTATAAGGCACACCTTGATTTTGGGACTGAAAATTGTGAGAAAAAGTAATATAATTGCATAAAGTTACAGAACTGAAGTTTCATTCATCATAGAATCCAGAAAACTCAACACTGTCAAAGAACTTTTAATTTTATAATTTTTGCCCCCTTGTATGTTACGCATGAACCGGCTTTCTCAAATGAGGCCCTGTATGGGATATTTTCTAATAAATCATTTGGTAAAATCTAAGATGCACACTGTTTTTAGCGCTATATTTTAGGAAAATAAGCGAGTCTTATACTTAGGAAATTATGGTTTTCCATCATTTATGTAGAATTTACAACTTTACAATAGATGTTAGTTTTTACCCTTTACAGGAGATTTCAGAAACAGCCTGAAGCATTTTTTTTACTGTTTTGGTTTTTCTAGGCAAATTTACATCCAGTAGTTTGCCAGTGCTTTCTGGACAGTCGGCTTCTCAATACCAGTCAAAACCAACGAAAGGCCTGCTGCTGAGATTGAACCCAGCACAAAGCGTGTTCGTAACGCCTAAGCCACAGACACCAACTTTATGATAGATGCAGTTGATAATATTAACTCGTTAATCATATTGTATGATTGTCCTGTTATACCGTTATATGTCCCACCGAGCTCACAGTCTATTTCTCCACTCCATTCTATCCTATGCAGCCACTTTGATATCATGGATGAAATCCAGTCCTGCATCTTTGGCTTCTCTTATCCATGTTCACCAAGCGGGGCTGCGTGGTCTCGAAGCATGGTGTCCTCCTCGAGTGCTGGAGGTTCCGGGTTCAAATCCCGGTAAGGGCTGGGATTTTTTCACTTGGACTTCTAGTAATTCCCCCTGGTTTCTGGGTAGTAAGATCGAATGCCCGTGTGCATTGCTGCGCACGTAAAAAAAAATCCCTTGACAGTTGGAAATCGAAAAGGGTAGCCTTGCGGCGCTGCCCTGGCAAAATTAGGAGTTAAAATTCTACCCAAAGTATTTCAGGATCCTCGCTGGTGCTACAGAGTCTGTGCACCGTGCTGAGCTTCTTCGGACTTAGACTTGAATTAGAAGAAGAATGGAGCACATATGGGTTACTACCCGTGTGCCATGATGTTGGTCCATTGTTCAAACTTCATCCATGTTCACTTTAAGGTTTCTCTTGGATGTCTTTGTTTCCTCAGTACCTCTATTTCCCATTTCAGTACCTGTTTGGTGATTCTCTGTTCGTCTCTTCTCAGTATGTGTCCAGTACAGTGCCATCGTCGCTGTCTTACAACTGTTGACTCTAATGGTTGCCCAGACATCTCCCTTTTTTCTTCACTCCTCCTGAATTCAGCTGCCTCAAAGATCAGTCAATGTGTATTACCTAATCTATTCTCTTGTTTGGCCAGATTGTGTTGATTTATTTTGAAAATTTCAGGTCGGTTTGGCAATCAGGCAGATCAGTTCCTAGGTGCATTAGCATTTGCAAAAGCTCTGGATAGGACTCTTGTGTTGCCACCCTGGGTGGAATACAGAAGAGGTGCGGTTAGTGCTGTGAGTATTAGAGCAGTTGCTGCAGTGCTGGTGTCAGTGTGTTGTTACTTTGTAAATGCATTTGTTTTCTTGTTCTTCTGTTAGTGTCATTATGTTGTTAGTTTTTAGTTCATTTGTTTTCTTGTTCTTCTATTAGTGCCATTATGTTGTTAGTTTTTAGTTCATTTGTTTTCTTGTTCTTCTGTTAGTGCCATTATGTTGTTAGTTTTTAGTTCATTTGTTTTCTTGTTCTTCTATTAGTGTCATTATGTTGTTAGTTTTTAGTGCATTTGTTTTCTTGTTCTTCTGTTAGTGTCATTATGTTGTTAGTTTTTAGTTCATTTGTTTTCTTGTTCTTCTGTTAGTGTCATTATTTTGTTACTTTGTTAATGCATTTGTTTTCTTGTTCTTTTGTTAGTGTCATTATGTTGTTAGTTTTTAGTTCATTTGTTTTCTTGTTCTTCTGTTAGTGTCATTATGTTGTTAGTTTTTAGTTCATTTGTTTTCTTGTTCTTCTGTTAGTGTCATTATTTTGTTACTTTGTTAATGCATTTGTTTTCTTGTTCTTCTGTTAGTGTCATTATGTTGTTAGTTTTTAGTTCATTTGTTTTCTTGTTCTTCTATTAGTGTCTTTATGTTGTTACTTTTTAGTGCATTTGTTTTCTTGTTCTTTTGTTAGTGTCATTATGTTGTTAGTTTTTAGTTCATTTGTTTTCTTGTTTTTCTATTAGTGTCATTATGTTGTTAGTTTTTAGTTCATTTGTTTTCTTGTTCTTCTGTGAGTGTCATTATTTTGTTAGTTTTTAGTGCATTTGTTTTCTTGCTCTTCTCTTGATGTCATTATGTTGTTAGTTTATTTTTAATGCATTTGTTCTCTTGTTGTTGTGCTGGTGTCATTATGTTGTTAGTTTATTTTCAATGTATTTGTTCTCTTGTTGTTCTGTTGGTGTCATTATGTTAGTTTATTTTTGATGCATTTGTTCTCTTGTTGTTCTGTTGGTAAAAATAAACTACAGGACACACATTGAGAAAACCTAATAATCAGTCAGTTAATTAGGTGCCACCTCCATAATAAAGGTTTCCACCATGAAGATTGGCTGCCTTGGATCTTCAACCCTCTGCTGCTCTTGTCTTATTGTTCACTGTCTCAGACTGCTGTTTATCCTTCTCTTGATGTTGTCCTCCTACTTGTATCATTTTCTGCCTGTTGCTCTTTTGCCTTTGACATATCCTTTTGGTATATTTTTGGAAAGAGTTTTAACCTAATAATAGTATAACTTGAATATCCTAGCAGTGCAACTCACATAGCAAAAGAGATAAGGAAAGCTTTGAAACACACGGGGAAGTGAATAATATTAATTATACAGGGACGTCATATAGAGATCTGCAAGAGATGGTATAGGTTATTGACAGTTTTCATACGCTGGTCGAGAGTCTGTTCTTTAGTGGAAGATGCCAAAAAAGAAGAAGCCTGTAAATGACTCAAATAATTTTTGGGAAGGAGGATTGAACTGGCCACTCTAACTATTTTTGCCACAGTCTAATAATAATTAATATCAAGGAAATGTATAAACCCAAACGAAAAGTATATCAGCAAGCTTCACAATATAACAAATACGAACAAAATGTGATCATTGCGGCTATGGAGCGGCTATGTAACTCTGTCACTGGAGTGGCTAGATTTAATGGCTGTCACCTCCATGTCGGGGACACCTTGGTGGTACTGGAAATTGAAATGCAATGGTACTGGTTTCAGCGCACCCTTCTGCATATACAAAAGATGTAGTCTGAACCTGTCAGCCAGTCATAAACCTGTTTCACTTATGTATTTTAACGCCATATCTTTTGCAGTTGATGGCGTAAATGACGTTACGGCTCATGCAATAGAATGCTTCACGTATGTGGAAGGCGGCATTCAGGAATTCCAGGCTGGTACTCTGAACCACATATGGACAGGTCCTGCACACAGGTCTGTGGCAAGAGAGAATCCTGAAGTGGGACTCTAAGGCAGGATATAACTGACTCTTAACTCTTTGAGTCCAGGGGGTTTAGCATCACAGAACCAGGGGGTAGTAAAGAAAGTAATAAAATCGGCGCATCATTAGGCTTCTAGGTTAGTTAGTCTTTCCTCTTGTGTCGAGTGCGGCACATAGGGCAGAGGTCGCGACTCTCCATGCACGGCGGTCCGTTGCAATCCGTTGTAGGTCTTGAATGTTTGAGTGGCCCATGAGCGAGCCTTCCCTGATGATAGTTCTAGGTAGGCTTCTAGGTAGGAACCTATGAATGCATGATGTGTTCCTTGAGACTCAAAGAGTTAACTAGAATATCCCTGAGGTTGTGATCGTGCCTGTGGGCCACTAGAGGAAGTTCAGAGAAGATCTTGCTGGTTGTAGGGTTAACCCTAAGGATGAAGAGATGCTTGAGAAGAATATTTTGAGCAATGATGTTTAATAATTATAAAGGCCTGTAACTTCATACGTCTATATTAAAATGAGTCTTTGATATGGTAAAGTTAAAAAAAAAAAGTAAAGAACCCTTTTCCACACCTGTAGGCATATAGGGCTAGACCTACATTTTTATAGACCAATCAGCACAAGATGGGTGATGTGGTCAGCAGCACGCCAGCTGCCTGTACTTCCCGGGACTGCACCCGGTACCCACTCAAGGCTGGGTCGACCTGGGAACCATGGTCATTTTTTTTAAAAGACCGGCTTCTCCAGGGAGCGAACCCACGACCTTCCGATCCGCGACGAGCGTCTAGCCGCTCTGCCACGGGGGCTCCCAGTCTTTGATATACAGAAAAATAATGACTTCAGTTAAAGAGCTCATTATGCTAATACATAAGTTATCTTAGCTCACTACTAACCCAGAGTTGATTTGTATTTTCTTCTTGTTTTTGTGGGTGTAGGTAATGGAACCATTCGACACTTACTTTCAAGTAGAGCCTTTACAAGAATACCATCGAGTGATTACCATGGAGAATTTTATGATGAATCTTGCTCCAACTATTTGGCCTCCAGGAAAAAGAAAAGGTGAGGGAGTTACAGAGTTTTGGGCTTTCAGTTCTAGCTTGGTGTGGCTAGCTGTTCTGTAGTGAAAGACTGAGCTGTATGAGAACAAATCGGCTATCCTCCGAATAACGGTCCTAAATTATCCAGGCCCAAAAAAATACCCTAACAGGGCCTCAATCATATGTAAATTGCGGACTCATTTCCGGCGAATATACTGCTTACCGCGGGAAACACTCCTCCCAGTAACAATCCCAAATCATTCAGGGTGTCAACAGCTCTGACACTGAGTGCTAGCTAGGTTTAACTTCTCCCCTGGGTCCTAGGTTTAGCTTCTCCCCTGGGTCCTAGGTTTAGCTTCTCCCCTGGGTCCTAGGTTTAACTTCTCCTGTGGGTCCTAGGTTTAGCTTCTCCCCTGGGCCCTAGGTTTAGCTTCTACCCTGGGTCCTAGGTTTAGCTTCTTCCCTAGGTTTAGGGTAAGGGTTAGGGCAAGGAGTATTGCACTTACAACACCACCACCAGAATCTGTCACAACAGTGGAACCGCGAAGCTATTGATTAAAGGGTTATGGATCTAACTTACGCGAAGTTACCACGGCAGCACTAGTCGCGCGTTGTTTACTGAATATTTATCGCAGTTTCCTGGTACACAATCACAAACTTTGAGGCCCTCTTGTGCAGTGAAGTTGATTTTGTTGCCTTTAAACATCCTTTAACTGAGATCTTTAACCATGGTAGAGTGAAGCATGGGCATTTGTAGACCAGTAGAAAGAGGTTATTTTTGTTTTGTTAGCAGATAAGAATCAGTTGCCCTCCCTACAATGAAGGATGTCTCAGTTTGTACACTCTCTCTGCTGTTTATTAGTCTCTTGATGCTGTCCTCCTACTTGTATCATTGTCTACCTCTTACTGTCCTGCCTTTGACCTTTCCCTCCAGATTCTTCCAAGAGTTTTATGTCTTAGAATGTGGCCAAAATATTTCATTTGTCTCTTTTTTATTTCTGTAATTAATTCACTGTTTATTTGCAGTCTAACCAGAACACCTGTATTTGATTGTTTTGGTTTCCATGCAAGAAATAATTCCACGGATGAGGAGAATTGTCTGGATTTTTTCACCTGTGAACGCCGGTGTGTTGGGAAAGGAACAGGTGGACAGACTGGCTGGCTCTGCATAACTTGGTGGAATACTGATACATGATAGGGCAGACGTAGTTAGTGCCTTGTGGGAGAGCGTGTACAGTTCAGAGGAGCAGATGGATCACCACAGTCTGGTGAGATTGATGCAGCGGGGAGTGACTAGAGGTTCTGGCAGATGCTCGAGGCTCAGAGGAAAGGCAAGACGGACGTTTAATCAGAATGCTCTTGGCACCATTAGTATCGGACCTCTTCGCTGGCTGCTGAAGATGGGGACGGAGCACTTATGGGAATTCCCTGAATGCTATGATGTCGGTTCTTGAATCAAATCAAATCAAATCATGTTTCCATGCGATAACGCCTTATTCTTCTGTATACCCACATCTCCAGAGACTCAATTCCATTCTCTAGTTGCCTGTTCATTGTCCACTATACAGTAGGGTTGAGCATACATTACATTTGATAATTGTCCTTCTTAACTCTTTGAGTCCCTGAGGTTTTAGCATCACAGGCCTAAGAGAAAAAAAAAAAAGACACATAAAATTGGTGTATCGTGCGTTCATTGAGCTTCCAAGTAGGAACCCATGAACGTATGATGCCTTCCTTGGAACTCAGAGAGTTAATATGCTGTTTATCTCTCTGTTGAGTCGCTAGAGGCTCATGTGCGGATCAGAAGGTCGTGGGTTCGCTCCCTAGCGGAGCCCGACTGTTTTTTAAAAATGACTTTGACTCCCAGGCCGACCCAGCCTTGAGTGGGTACCGGGTGCATTCCCGGGAAGTAAAGGCGGTTGGCGGGATGCTGACCACATCACCCCTCTTGTGCCGATTGGTCTATAAAAATATATGTCCAGCCCTATATGCTTTATAAGCCTAAAGGTGTGGAAAAGGAACCTTCACTTCATTTTTTTGAAGACAGTTTTAGCCACTCTTTTTCTGTTTTTGATTTCTGTTCACTTCTGCCATCATCTGTTATTAAATGTCAGTATTCCCCAAGTGGGTTCCGAGGCCCCATTGTATGAAACAAGAATAGATCCACTACTTTCCCAGCAAGCATGTCATAGAAGTGGACTAACCAGGGACTTTCTTTGAAGTTGGAGTGCATCTGCCCGAGCGGCAAAGAACAACCAGCTGCACACAAATAATTCAGTAAAATGGATGTGCACGCAAAAATCAGGCCCTGGCACAAAGCCAAACAACCAGGACTTTCCGCCGGAGCTAACAGCCAGTAAACAAGGAAGACAGAAGAAGAAGGTATGTCAAGATAGGGGAAACATGTTACTTACTTATTCTAGTTTCTCTAGTCGATCTTATCCATTGCTATTTACCACTGTAAAACAATGGAACGTATTGTCAACCTTAGACTCCAATGGTACTTGGAAAGTGAAAACATTTTAACGCCGCAGCAGGCAGGATTTAGACAGTGCTACTCCACAGAAGACCAGACAAATTACCTTTCACAAGAAATTGAGGATGCCTTCCAGGAAAAGAAGCTAGTGCTAACGGCATGGATAGATCTGAAGAAAGCCTTTGACAAGGTCTGGAAAGAAGGTCTACTGAAGAAACTGAGAGACTGCAGGGTGAATGGGAGAATGTACAAATGGGTGAAAGCATACTTGTATAACAGAAGATCCCGAGTACAGATAGATGGACTTAAGAGTAAGAAAGTTTTGCTGCGCCATGGCGTCCCACAAGGAGGTGTTCTGTCCCCCACACTCTTCCTAGTCTATATCAACGACCTCCTTTCTGAACTACCCCATGGAATTAAAGCTGCAATGTATGCTGATGACTTGGTACTCTGGTGTACAAATGACAGTGGCCACCAGGCTGCTACAAAGAGCCACAGATGCAATGGCTGATTGGGCCAACAAATGGTGTGTCAGCATCAACATAGGCAAATGCAGCACCACCCTCTTTACCCTTTCTCCTAAACAAAAATCAGGTGTCATGCACATAAATGGAGTACCTCTGAGAGAGGATAAGGAGCCCACATACCTCGGCGTAACGTTTGATGATAGATTAACATGGAGAAAACACATCAACAAGGCAGCAACCAAAGCCAGAAGGAGGGTAGCCATTCTGAGAAAACTAAGTGGAACCACATGGGGTGCTAGCGGGAAAATACTTAGAAAAGTTTACCAACAAAGTGTTCGACCACATCTTGAATACGGATCAACAGCATGGAGTTCGGCATCAAAAACCACATTGCAAGAATTAGACAAAGTGCAAAATCAAGCACTCAGAGTTACCACAGGCAGTATAAAATCAACACCTATAGCTGTGATGGAGAAAATGGGGATGACCCAAACACTGAGTGAACGCAGAGACACCAAGATGCTTTTACAAGCAGAAAAGTTTCTTAGTATGCCCAGTCACCCTATGAATGAAAGATTCCAAAATTTAGCTTTGGGACGACTAAAGAGAAGTAGTTTTATCCACCAGGCCAAACGGCTCGGCAGACAAACCACTGATTTACCTGCAACTGATAGATCCTTAAATGCTGTCCCAGAACGGACCCCTGGAGAGAGGAGTATAAGTTTCCAATACACATCAAGACTGAAGTGAAAGGGGTATTTGACAAGGAAGAACAGAACAGTGTGCAGCGCAAAACAGCCACCCTCAGTCTACTTGATGATGAATACCCGCAGAACCTTTGGGTCCGTGTTTACACAGATGGGTCATCAGAAAGCGCAGTCAGAAACGGAGGTGCGGGAGTGTACATTGAGTATCCTAATAATACCAGGGATACAGCCAAATTACCAACGGGAAAGCACTGTCACAACTATGATGCAGAAGTTCAAGCCATCAAGATAGCGGTAGAGAAACTACTAAATACAGGGTATTTTTCACAACCAGTGGTATTCCTGACAGATGCAAAAGCAGTACTTCAGTCACTCCAGTCTGGAAAATTACCAAGCATACGGACACTATTATCCGAACTAGGCAACCGCTGTAAATTAGTAATGCAGTGGATACCTTCCCACTGTGGAGTTCCCGGAAACGAAAAAGCTGATAAACTAGCTAAGGAAGGTGCAACTGAAGAACAACCTGACATACCAGTCTCTTATCAACAGAAGAAGAGAATGATCAAATCAATCAGAATGCCACCGAAACTGGCACAAGATGATTACCATATTATGGACAGACCAGAGCAAGTCATTATCCTTCGCCTTAGAACAGGGCACAATCGACTTCGCTCCCACATGTACAACAAATTTAAGATTGGCCAATCAGCCATGTGTACTTGTGGACTGGCACCTGAAACAACAGATCACATCCTTCAAGACTGTCCCAGATTCAACGCTTTCAGGCAAAACCTTTGGCCAAAAGAGACACTTGTGGAAGTCAAACTTTACGGGCCGCTTAGTGAATTACAAAAGACAATGAAATTCATACTAGAGACAGCTTTGCAGATATAGACAATTTATTTCATGCGAACGAAAGAAGAAGAAGAAGAAGCTATTTACCATAGTTTTTGTTTTTTGTATGTTTATGTCTGATCCATTCTCTGCACCCTGTTTGTTAACTTGATCCACTAGGTTCTGTAACTCCTGCTCAGTTTCTGCTAGTAACACTATTAAAGGCAGATATATCCATGTTGTTACAGCTAATATCATGCACCTCTCTCTCTCTCTTTCTCTCTCTCTCTCTCTCTCTCTCTCTCTCTCTCTCTCTCTCTCTCTCTCTCTGTCTCTCTCTCTCTTTCTCTCTCTCTTTCTCTCTCTCTTTCTCTCTCTTGTTGTACCCCACCAAGACATCACACAAGCGACAAATACCCGGTGACACAAAGTGCCACCATGCGGATGAGGATCACCTGTGGAGAGGTCCCAGAAACCCCTTTTCAGCCATAAGCCAAATTTATGGCCTGGCTATATTCAAGGCCACCGGCAAAAGCCAGGGTAGGGCTTCAAATAACAAAAAATTGCATTCCTCATGGGGACGACTTGTACTTATGTATAGGCACCATATTTCTCTTCTGTTTACAGTGTTTTGTTATGGAGCTCGGCATGGGTCAAATAAAAATGAATGCAATGCAAAAGAAGGCAATCCATTTGGTCCATTTTGGGACTGGTTTCAAATTGACTTTGATGAGTCTGTAATGTTTGGACCCCTTTATTATGACACTACAAGCACAAATGCAGTAGCCGATTGGAACAGCAAGTAAGTTCATCATTTATTGTTTTTGATCATATATGATCAGAGATTGATTACCATATCAACTGTTATTGTCAGGGACTAATTGCCACAGAAACTGTCTTTGTAAAAGTCCTTTAACATTTTTCGTGTGAAATTGTCAGGAATGTACCATAGTATAAGATCAACTTTTTGGTTCTAAGTATAGGTAAGCCTACATGTACCTGTTTTTTTTTTTTTGATCAGTTGTGACAAATATGATCTTCCATGCCATGCTCTCAAACTGTCCAGCATCTGTTCTCTCTGTCTCCCTCTGCCTCTCCTCCCTTTCAACTTTCCTACTGTCACGATGTACTCCACTTTTTTCCTTCACATCACACGTCCAAAGAATGTAGATTGTCTCTTTCTGACGTGGGCAATCAGTTCTCTTCATGAGTCAGTATCTTTCAAGAGACCTTTTAATTGCTCTTTTTATCTGTCTAGTGTATTCTCATCATTCGTCTATAAAACCACATCTCTGCAGCTTCCAAATAAGTTTTCACTAATTTAGTAACTGTCCGTGATTCACATCCATATATCAGTTCAGGATTTATACAGCTTTTAAGAATACTTTTTCTTGTCTCAGTTGACAAAGACAGATTGCATAAAATTTTCTCCATTTTGTAAAATGCTGCCTTTGCTTGAACTATTCAACATTTAACTTCCTTAATACATCTTTCATCTGATGTTATCAGGTCGACCCAAGTACTCAAACGTATCAACTTGCTTGAGGTTTGTCTCATTTACTTTGATGTTGCACTTCTGAGGGTCAGTTTCGTTTGTAATTACCATTGTTTCTGTTTTTCTGGTGTTCAAACTAAGACCCTTGTTTTCACTTTTTGTTACAATTATATCCATCATTTCTTGCAGTTGTGTTTTATTTTCAGCAATCAACACTACATCGTCAGCATGTCGCAGGCTGTTAACAATCTGCCCACCAACCTCTATACCTGGCATACCATATATGGATCTAATTATTATTTTACTGTGCAAATTTTATAAATAGGGTGATAGTACACATCCCTGTCTGACACCTTGTTTAATGTTTTGAAAAGTTCCAACTTGGTTGTCAGTCCTTATGGCTGCTTCTTGTTGCCAGTATGTTTGTTTTTTTAAATTATTCTCAGATTGTTACCATCAATGTTTAAATAAGGTTTTTTAAATTTAAATAATTTCTTAATGTTTCACTTTATCAGATGCTTTATTGTAAACAATAAATCACAAAAACAGAACCCTATTCATATCAATCATTCTTTCTGATAGTGTTTCCAAGATTTCTGGTTTAATTTTGCACCTTGTTTTTTCATGATAGTTCTCATTAATATTTTTGTTACATGTCTCATTAAACTAATTGTGGGAGTAAGAATACTAATTATCCATAAATAGGAACAAGCACCGATAGAATGAACTGAAATAAAAAAATTAAACAAATGAATGTAAGAAAAGAATTATTTAGACGAATGTATGCTGATACCTGCCGGGGCTCAAAACACCTAAAGTATGAATGAGGCAAATCTCTAAAAATAAACTTGTGGTTTGATCACCAGAGCAAGATTTTATGGCAGTGACGGAGATATTTTCTCTGTCACATTGGTCAGAACTGTTGAAATAGAGAGAAAATGGTTTGAGTGCCTATTTTTTAATGTCCAAAATACGTTCACGGAACCGAATGCTAAGGTTGGTTTGCAAATAGCCTGTTAAAAACTAACGCGACTAACTTTATTTGATCTATTAGATACCCAGCAAAGGACTACCCAGTACTTGCATTTGTAGGGCCGCCAGCAGCATTTCCTGTCTCCCAGTTCAACGTGAAGCTGCAGAAGTACATCAAGTGGTCAGATAATTACAGTAAGATGGCAGACGACTTTATTCAGCAGAATGTGCCAGAAAGGCCATTTCTAGGAATACATCTACGTAATGGGCCAGATTTTGTGAGTAGAGTCAGACAAAAATTCTATTTATTTTAATGTGATCAATCCCTGTGTGGGTCCCAAGGCCTCATTGTGGAGAAAACAAGAATAGACTGCCTACCCAAAAGCAGATCAAAAGAGTCTACTAATTGGGAGCTTCCTTTGAAGTCGGAGTGCATCTGCCTGAGAGGCAAGGAACCAACAGTCTGCATTCAAGTGAATCAGATCTGTAAAACTGATCCACTCGCAACACTCAGGTTCTGGAGCAGGATTGCAGTCCAGAAAGTGAATGAACAACCAGAACTTTCTGCCAGAGTGTACAGCTGGTGAACGTGAAGAAGAAGAATTTTTTGGTTCTTTTTTTCATCAGAAACAACATCATCAAATGCCTTGATCACTGGTATGGTTAATCAGGCTTCTCCACAATCTGCATTCTGCAACTGTGTACATCCATTTGTGTGTTGACACTCCTTCAAACCAGAACACAAGGCTGTCAAGAATCTTCTTGTGTTGTCTTCCTCTGTCTCTCTTTCCACAGATCTTTCCAGTGGTCACTACATGTTTCAGTTTTCTTCTTCTAATAACAGGATATCAGAAACTTTTTCTTCTTCTTCTTCTTCTTCTTCTCCTCTTCCACCTTAGCGAAGTGTGGGAAGGAGATGTAACATTCATTGATGAGCTCTGTTAAGAGCACTATTCAGACTGATGATATCAGAAACAAAGCCAGCAAATAGCGAGCCGGCCACCTTATATTAGTTATTCTCGAACCTAGCAGTATTAGTTTTATGATCTGGTGCTGGGCCAGATTCAGACTGTGATACTAACAGGATTGCACCGGACTGAATGGAATGGAGAACTATACTGTAAACCCTGTGTGATGTATCTGTCTGCCTATTGTCTTTTTCTGCTTTATGCTGTTTGGCATCGCAGGCACTGCTAAATGATCGGTTTCTGGGACAGTGCACCCTCATTAGCTTGCTGCGTGGTGATATTGTTGAGTTTAAACAAGTTTTTAACGCCATCTATCCATCTTCTTTTTGGCCTCTCTCTGCCTCTTGACGTTTCCATTCTCATGTTGAATGCTCTTGTAACTGGTGATGCCAGGTTAATTCTGGCCAGTTAGCCAAATTTTCCAAGTATTTAAAAAAAAAAAAATCTGATTACAGGTTTTGTTCCCACTAATCTAATGTCTTTGTTTCTGGTATGGTCTCTTCTGGTTATGTTGACTGTTTTTCTCAAACATCTCATTTTACATTTTGTCAGTTTCTGCTGTTTAAGTGATGTATAACATCCATGGAATAATATGCAGACATTTTACATGTCGTCAGGTTCTGCTGTTTATGTGATGTATAACATCCATGGAATAATATGCAGACATTTTACATGTCGTCAGGTTCTGCTGTTTATGTGATGTATAACATCCATGGAATAATATGCAGACATTTTACATGTCGTCAGGTTCTGCTGTTTATGTGATGTATAACATCCATGGAATAATATGCAGAATAAACGACGAGAGAGAGAGAGACACACACACACGCACACGCACGCACACACACACACACACGCGCACGCACGCACGCATGTATATATATAAAAATATTTTCTATATGCGTTAAACTCAAGGAGAACAGGCTCATAAACAGCGTAATTCCCAAAAGTTTAAGCATTTTGGCCACATCAAATGTCTTTGTAGCTTGGAAACAACAGTGATTGAGGGCGCAGTTTGTGGAAAGCAAAGTAGGGGTCCACCTTCACGAAGATGGATACAGGACATTGAAGAAGCATACAGGACAATGAAGATGCATACAGGACATTGAAGATGGATACAGGACATTGAAGATGCATACAGGACATTGAAGATGCATACAGGACATTGAAGATGCATACAGGACATTGAAGATGCATACAGGACATTGAAGATGCATACAGGACATTGAAGAAGCATACAGGACATTGAAGATGCATACAGGACATTGAAGAAGCATTGGCATCTAAAGCACATGGGGTCGGAGAGCTGGCTAGAGAAAGGGATACTTTCAGGCGTGCCGTGAGGAAAGCCACCTTCTGTAAAGGACTTTCTGATTGATGATGATGTGTGTATATATATATATATATATATATATATATATATATATATATATATATATATATATATATATATATATATATATATATATATATATATATATATATATATATATATATATATATACACACACACACACACACACACACACACGCACGCATGCACGCAGGCAGGCAGGTAGGCAGGCAGGCAGGCAGACAGACAGACAGACAGACATGTGTGTCTGTTTATGTGTATCCACACACAAATGTATGTGTGTGTTTGTTTATATACACACACATATATACCTTCTTAGTCACACTTCAGTGGATTAATATACCCCATGATATATTTCAACTAGCTTGTCTATACATATAAATAGTGTTATTATACTTGTTTGTGCAGGAAAAGGCTTGTGATCATGTGTCTACAACACCTAACATGTTTGCAGCCAAGCAGTGCATTGGAGAGAGAGGGGAGTTTGGTACAACAACAATGGAAATGTGTTTTCCTTCGGTGTCAACAGTTACAGAACAGGTACTATCTTGGTTCATGATGCTTCATCCTCAGCATTTCTTTTCTTAAAGCATGATATTCTTGACATTCTTCTCCTTTTTCAGCCATCTTTGGACATGCAGATAATCCACTGTGGGCCATAGGCTGGGGTGTCATCTCAAGGTCTCTTAGGTTTCCCCAAAGCTTAGTTGTCACTTATACTGGATGTTGTCATATGTTGCTCTGCCAAGAGAGGACAGTCTTGTCAGACTTGTTCTGGAGTCTGTTTAGCACGAAGGCACTAGCAGAGAGCTGTTTGGCTAATACCAAATTTTTCATATATGAGTGTTTGTTGAGTCTATAATGTCCAGTATGTAAGCAAAAAACTGTGACGGATTGTTCTGTTCAGATATTTGAGGAAATCTTTCTCATGGTTATAACCTGTGTTGGTCTTCCAGTCTGTTTAAATTCTTCTCAAAAACCACATTTCAGCGGCTTCCATTTCCATCACCATTTCATTACTCTTTGTCTAGCAGACACATCCATGCAGAAGGACAGGCCATGCACAACCTTTCAGCAAGCATTTGTTTGTAAATGTTTTAATTGACGTCATCATCATCAACCGTCATGCCACTATACATCACATAGGGTTTGTGGTCTAGTTCTCTGTTACCTTCTGTCCTGTGCAGTCCTTTCGATGTCAAGAGTGGAATCCAATTTAGCACCTTTAGCCTCTCTCAGCAACCTTTCTCTTCGGGATAATTCACACAGTACCGGGTGTCTAAAAGTTTTCATACATAGGAAAAATATCATTGTTTTGGAAAAATATTTCAGTGTCCTCCACTGCAGAAGAACACATATGAGCAGAGATGGAGTTATGCTTGTAATGGTGTTGGTTATATGAATGGTGTTGGTGATATGAATGGTGTTGGTGATATGAATGGTGTTGGTGGTATGAATGGTGTTGGTGATATGAATGGTGTTGGTGATGTGAATGGTGTTGATGATATGAATGGTGTTGATGATATGAATGGTGTTGGTGATATGAATGGTGTTGGTGATGTGAATGGTGTTGGTGATATGAATGGTGTTGATGATATTAATGGTGTTGGTGATGTGAATGGTGTTGGTGTTTAGACCATTTGATATGGCTTGCAGTGTATCCTTTATTTGTATTCACACTTTTTGTTTCAATGTTATTTTGCCAGGTTAAAAGAGAAGTAGAAAAATTAGGAGCCAGAGCAGTTTTTATAGCTACAGATTATCATGATCTAAGAGCAGAGCTGTCCAAAGTTCTGAAAGATGTAAGTTTTTGTACTCCCCTGTTTTGTGAATATATAACAATGAGAAGTTTCAAACAAAGTTCTTTGGTCATGTGATTAGAAAAGGAGCACTGGAAAATGATGACCGGGAAGATCACTGGTAGAAGAGGCAGACCAAGAGAAATGATGGTGGATGGCTTAAGACAGGGGCATGGAGGAATATTTACAGTAAAATTGATCCAGAACCCCAAAGACCAAGATCTGTGGAGATGCATGAATGCCTACGCCAGTTGGCAAAGCACTTGATGGTGTTTGTGTGCGTGCATGTGTGTGTGCGTCATGCGTGTGTGGAGAGAGAGAATTGTGTTTGTTTTATATTTTCCCTGTATGGGTTCTAGAACCCCATTTTGGGGAGAGAGAGAAAAAAAGAATAGACCCACTGCCCTCTAACAACCATGTTGTAAACAGCGACTGATGAAGGGCTTTTGCCTCAAAGTTGGAGTGCATCTGCCTGAGATGTGAGGAACCAATAGTCTCTTCATACAAATGATTCAGATCTATGAAACGTGCGTGCAAAACTAAAGTTATGGATCGAAACAAAAGTCTAGAAATGGATGAACAACCAGAATTTTCATCTGATGAACGCTAAGAATAAGAATATTTACACTCCAGAGGTGTATGTTGGCATGCTGGGTAGTTGTTTGTGCTCATGTTCCTGGGCAGTTTCTTGTTTCTCTATAAGAAAAAAGTAAGAGAGTAAAGGACCCTTTTCCATGTCTTTAGGCATGTAGGGCATATAGGGCTAGACCTATATTTTATAGACCAATCGGCACAAGATGGGTAATGTGGTCAGCATCATGCCGACCGCCTTTACTTTCTGGGACTGCACCTGGTACCCAGTCAAGGCTGAGTCGACCTGGGAGCCAAGGTCATTTTTGAAAAAAGTCCTGCTCCACCAGGGAGTGAACCCACGACCTTCCGATCCGCAGGCGAGCATCTAGCAGCTCTGCCACAGCGACTCCCTGATTCTCTATAAGTAGTTTTATTTGGCTGTCTGGGATTAGAAATGGGTACTTCTAACAAGAACACAGACTTGAAGGCTGTAAGGACTTGGTCCTAAAAAGCTCACAAGTTGAATAGAAAAGAGACATAAGAAGGCATCGAGGGACGATTCTTGATAGTTTACAATGCAGAGGCTTGCAAAAGTGTTAATGCATAAAGAGACACAAGTGCCTTAAAGAACCATGATCTCCCACACAGCTTTTCCTTGGCACTTGCTCATGATGATGAATAAGATAAAGAGGTACATCACCACACATGGTCAACACCATCTGATTACAAGTTGGAGAACATCTGCCTGAGAGTTGAGAAACCAGTAGTCTGCACACATTTATAAAACAGCCAAGATCCACAGAGGCGTATGGGGCAGAGATCAGTCACTAATGAAAAACCAGTATCAGTTATTGACACCTCAAGACAATGGAGGACTGGTCAGCGTGAAACCAGACAGACATGGATTGCAAGTAGATCTTGGAAGAACCAGTTACAACAATCAGCATCCAATGAAATAAGAAACCAAATAAGTTACCACAAATATAACTGAAGCTTCTTGGGAAACAGCCTTTTCCAGGAGGCGGTTGAACGTGGTTACCTTTAATGTTGAATTGAATTGAACGGCACATGGTGGTGCAGCAGGACCAGAGATCATACTGGCCAGGACTTATCGAAACATCTACGTGGTCATCCCAAAAACACGTTCCCTGTTGAGGATCTTGTGGTGCTTTATTAATATGTTACCCCAAAAAGGGAAAATCTACAGGTCACGGAACAGTCTAATATTTCAGGGGGTGGTAGATAGACTGCATGCAGTCGTGGGACCTAGGCTGCACTCTCTCGTGGGACCTAGGTGGGTTAGGGTTAGGGCCAGTTCTAGATGTTTTGGGGTCGTTAAAAGCGTCAGAAAGCCAGGAAACCCAGTCTTACCACCCTCTAAAATGTTGGACTGCCCTGTGACGTCATCTGGGGGTAGGATATTAATAAAGCACCCAATCTTGCCAGTGTAGACAGAACTGATGTTTCCAAGTCAGAGAACATCTGTCTGAGAGTTGAGAAACCAGTAGTCTGCACACATTTATAAAACAGATATGCAGTCAACACTTGTTTCCTTCAACATGAACGTAACCCAGACACAGATGATCAACCCGGACTTTCTGCTGGAGTTCACAGCTGGCAGTTGCTGAAGATGATTATAAATGCAGTTCAACTTTCTTTCCTTGACTACTTGGCTTTCTTATTATTCCTGTTTTTTGTTTTTGTCTCCCTGTGGTTGATTACATTTTCCAATTAACTCTATTGTTTGCTTTCTGTAAAGGTGTTTTCTTGGTGTTGCCATAGTGCATCTGACTTGTCATTACACGAGCCAACCAAATACCTCCATAGGGTGAATATTTTTAGGTGTAAAACAGGCAGCACCGCCAACATGTCTTTTGCTTTTGGATGATTACAAAAGTGTTCAGCACAGGAGAAAGGGTCGGCTTTTACCTTGTTTAGCACAGTGGTACACACCTGCTGTGCGGTTTGTAAGTAGCAGCGAAAGGGTTAAACAGTAAAACCTCATAATCGCCAATTCCTGGGACCACAGAAATCAAGAGTTCATGTAAAAAAAAAATTGTGCTGTCCTGGGACTAATAATAAGTCTCTGCTAGGACCATAAATTTGTCCATGTTAATGAGTGTTTTTCTTAGGTGAATTCATATTAACAAGGTTTTGCAGTTTTAACTGCTTGGCACTGAAAAGAGTAATTCTTGTTACAGCAAGTAGAGAAACTAGAAAAAGAATTCATTTTCAAATTACATTTTCTCTGCAGGTGAAGCTTGTCAAACAAGCAGATCCGCCATCACCACTCCTGGATCTGGCTATCCTAGGCAGGTCTGACCATTTCATTGGCAACTGTGTGTCCACATTTACAGCCTTTGTCAAGCGCGAGAGAGATGTCAATCAGTTGCCATCATCTTTCTGGGCATTTGAAAGACCTCGGAAGGTGGAGCTTTGATAAGGAGAGTGCTAGTGTATGTTTCATTGTTATTATTAAGTAAGATCTGAGGAGAATGGTGCTGCGAGGTGTTACCAGAGAATCTGGCCAACGCTCAAAACTCAAGGGAAAGGCGACACGGATATATAGACAGTTACTGGTGCCATTGGAATTGGAACTCTTCGCTTGCTGCTGAAGATGGGACAGAGCGCTTATGGAAGTGTCCCAAGCGCTCTGATGTTGAATTTTGTAAATTGAATTTGTTACACAGAAAAAATGGAAGATCTTAGCTCAAATTATTCCAGTAAATTTATCACTGACTAAATATTGAATGTTCTTGACTGATTTTATATCAATGAACTCCTTATATATTGAACACATTTGTATGTTGAATAAGACTGAACCAGTACTTCATTTCTTAAAGCATGTAGCATTTTACACATGCATCCACAATTCACATCTACCTTATTTATTTTACCAGCACATCTACATTTGTTTATTTTCTTGCATCTACTTCTATTTATTATACTGCAACATCTCCACTAATTTATTATTCTATTGCAAGTACAGTGGAACCTCCGGATACGCATTTAAACTTGTTCCTTCGGTGAATAACTTGTACCCTGAAACTGTTTTTTTTTTCTGTTAAAATTAATGTGAGTAATTCCAGCCCTCTGAAAAATCACCTGTTACTTTTAAAGTGACATTTTTCATTTCATTCCCGGGAAAATATGCGTCACTCTTTGTTAATTTTGCCAACAGTGGAAAAATAGGGGTTACTTCTGACGGTGATGATACAGTCCATCATCATCAGGTTCCTTTTGTCACCCTAGTCTGGTGAGAGTGATGCAGCCGGGTTCGGGCTGATGCTCGACCTTTAGAGGAAAGGCAAGATGGACGTTTAATCAGAATGCTACTGGCACTATTATGTTGGAACTCTGTACTGCCTGCTGAAGATGAGGACAAAGCGCTTATGGGAATGCCCAGGGTGCTGTGATGTTGGTTCATGAATCAACTCAACTCAAGTGCCTTCTCAACTGGCTCAAGTCCTTTTTTGTTTTGGTAATGTTAACGTGACTAATCCATTTAAAAGTTATCGAGAGGCAGTCGAGTAGCACTAAAAGTTCTCGTCTCTCCAGCTCGCATCCTGGATTTCATATTCAGCTTTAACAGAATTGGCAATATATCCTGACCGCATATCCTAAAAAACGTCTATCCAGGTACGCTCATATCCTGAGTTTCTACTTTACATTAATTATGCTGATTCATTGACTTATAACTATTACACACACACACACATTGCATCCTCATCTCTTTTGTGCTGTTATGTGCCGCATAAGGCTCAGTCTAGTTCTGCAAACAGTCAGTTAGGAATAGAAGGCCAAAAAAGAGATGAACCGAGGGGAGTGTTATCCGCAGCAATGAACCTCAAGCCCTTGGAATCCTGAAGATTCCATCTTGCACAGTTCTCTTGATATCATGGATGGAATTCAGTCCAGCACCTTTGACTTCATAGGGTTTCTCATGGAGGTCACTTCCTGAATCCATTTGTTTCCAGTTTCAGTGCCTCTTTGCTGGATTCTCTTTGTACTCCTGCTCATGATATGCCCAGTTTACTGCCGTCTTCTTTGTTTAATAACTGTTGATACAAGCAGTTATAGTCACATCTGCATTGATTATACTGTCACTCCTGCATTAAATTATACTGTACTGTTCTAATTTGGATATATTTATTACACTTTTATTGTGACATTGATTTTTAATTTTTTTAAGTGAAGATCCCTTTTCACGCTTTTAGGCGCATCGAGCACATGAAAAGAGCACCCCATATTTTTACAGACCAATTCAGCACTGGATAGGTAATGTGGTCAATATTACGCCGGCCGTCTTTACTTCCCCAGGACATCCATCCTGGTACCCATTTCAGGCTGGATCGACCTGCGACGCCCCATACCACGATAAAAATCCACACAGCCAGCAATTTGTTTCGATCGCGGTACGTTGGAATTACGAGTCGGACTCACAACGCCGCTGATATTTTATTAATACTCATTAAAAAAACAAGGGTGACCCGCCAGTCTGTGGATACCACTCAGTTATCTACAAATTTTTAACTATAGTGCAATATATACGAAGACTGCCGACTAATACAGATAGGCTCAAAGTGCTGCAAGCTAAGTCATGTCTGAGAGTAGCCGCAGATAAGAAACACTTCCTGCATGAAGCCCTAGACAGAGCTAAGGGTCACAGACTGAAAAGAGGAAGGTCTTAGATGGCACAAGCTGAAGACAAAATTAGACGTGTGTAGGTTTGACAATATTGGACGAGGAGAGGAATCAGTCAGAATGTCCCAGCAAAAGTCAGACTTGTGTAGGGTTCTGATCAAACTGGGCCGTAAGTGCAGGGACTGGCCAGCCGGCTCTGCAGAATAAGAAGTTTATTCATGACAATTCTCGCCCATGTGATATGATTATCTATAAAGATGGCTCTGTGTTGAGAGGAAGTCAAAGCTTATGGGGGTCCTAAGCAAAAGTGAATGGACGTCGCTTAGTGCAGCAAAGCCTGGTATATGACACCACAATATCTAGTTTGGGAATGGAGGTGGAGGCAGTAACTGCATCCCTTTGCTGGCATGGAAATCAGCTGTACAGTAAAGTAAAGGTCCCTTGTCCACGCTTTTAGGCATATAGGGCTAGACCTATATTTTATAGACCAATCGGCACAAGATGGATGATGTGGTCAGCATCACGCTGGCCTTATTACTTCCTGGGACTGCACCCGGTACCCACTCAGACTGGGTGGACCTGGGGGCCAAGGTCATTTTTAAAAAGTCTTGCTTCCCCTAGGGAGTGAACCAACGACCTTCCGATCTGCAGGGGAGCTAAAACCACTCCGCCACATCAGCTGTTCACACATGTCATTATTTAACTGACTTACAGAGCATGTTACGACAGGTGTAAGCCAGTATGCTCTGTGAAGAGGTCCCAGGTATTTAGCGTCCTTTTTATATTTTTCCAAAGATATGCCAGTGTATTAAAAAATGAACAAGCAGATAGACTGACTGGTTCTGCACAACTTGGTGGTGAACTGGTGCATGACAAGCTAGATATTGTAAGAACCCTTTGGGGGGCGAGTGAACAACGTGGAAACACAGATGGATCATCATGGTACTGCGAGGCGTGGCGAGGGGATCTGGTTGGTCATCAACACTGGAGGGAAAGATGTGATAGATATACAATCAGATTGCTATTGGTGCCATTGGAATTTGAACTCTACGCTGGTAATGTCCAGAGTTCTGTGATGTCGATTCTCAAGCACTATTGTCAACAGTGGAGGATAAAGACTAGTAAAATGACTTTACGGAAAAGCTAAAATAGACAAGAAGAAATATTGTTAGCTTTATATAATTCAGCTGGTTGTATAAACATATTTTTTTTCAAAGAACTACACAGATTGCTGTCTCACCTTGTCATTTTATGATTAAATGCATTTACCTAGAATTTAAATGTTACCTTTGCAGTTTTGTAGTTTTCTTTGTGTTCCTGCAACAGTTTAACAATTTGTCTGCGGTTGTTGTTGTTGTTGTTATCGATCCAGCGGCGCATGAGCTTTTGCCCTTTGGCCCAATGCCATGTAGTGGAATTTGCATGTTTTCACAAGCTGTTCTTTTCCTCCGTACAAGGTGTTCCACTTGTCTGATCTCGGAGGGAGTAGCGTTCTTCTTGTCTCGCTGAGTTTTGGGCACTCAAAGAGATGGTGTTCAACAGTTTCGTAGGGGTAGTTACATAGCTGGCACTCTAGGGAGTGTTGTGGCTGTATTCTGTTTAGGTGTCCATTGAGTGGAGTATGTTGCGTTCTAAGTCTGAAGATGGTGGTCTGGTCCCTTCTTGCTAGATGGTTAATGCTGTCATTAGGATCAGGGCCAGACATATGTCTATAAACCTCTCTTCCAGTGTCTCCCATGGCCCATCTGTTCAACCAAGTCTCTTTGTTTATAGCTCTTATCAGTGTTTTTGCTGTCTGGAGGGTTGTCACTGTAGGTAGTTGTTCTTGTGTTGCTCCTTTCTTTGCCAATCTGTCAGCTCTGTCATTACCTGGTGTGCCGGAGTGACCTGGAATCCACTGCATCACTATTCTGATGTTGTATGAGGTAATAAGCTGATCAGCATCCAGGATTATCTTGGCTATGTCAGTTCTGCAGCGTTCACTGCCCTCCAGAGCTTGAAGAGCAGACATTGAATCTGTGAAGATGACAATATTTTGGACCTTTGAAGGGTAAACATCCATTACAGTCTGTTTGCGGTAACAAGCGCTTTTAAAAAAAAATAATCATCACCATTATGTAATCCTGTAGATTTTAACATTTGAGGCTTAGGCTTTGCGAACCCATTTCATAATTTCGTGGTGCTAGATTTGATCTCAGCTGTGGATGATTTGGCAGCAGACTGCCTTGTGTTTGCTTCAACAATGGTGTCGAGACACAAAATTGCCTGTTTAAGTCACAAACAGCCAGTAAATGCTGGAGTTGGTTCTGCAAGTCCTGAGAGACAAAACAAATGTTTTTGTGTGTGTTTATCCTGCAGATAACATAAAAGAATATATGTGCGTTATCTTTCATTTGGAGTTAACCCACGTGTGGGCTCAGGGTCACTATTACAGGTAAAACAAGAATAGACCCTGAGAGGCAAGGGACCAACTGTCCGCACACATATGTGTCAGATCTGTCTAACAGATGCAAACATAACACTCAGGTTCTGGAACAGGAGTGCAGTCCAGAAGTGGACGAACAACCAGAACTGTCCACCAGAGTTTGCAGCTGGTGAACGCAAAGAAAAAGAGGAAGATTTGGAGTTAGCAAAGCAGGCCTATAGTGGGACTATGCTGCATGGGCAGCACCTGGTCTATACAATACTGTCCAGGTTTTTGTGACGTGAGGAGGAAGGTCATCATCCCTGGCTTGAGCTGGTATTGGTTTGAGTTGGTATCGCCATCAGTTGTGATTTCCATGGTTCTCTATAGCA